CTAATTTCTTTCTTCTATTGTCTATGTTATAAATGTTTTTGGTCAAAACATTATTAAGTCTCAATCTCTCATCTTCTTACTCAACATTTTATCTAAGTAGAATGCTAAAATCCACCCCCAAAGTTAGGCAATCGAGATAGATCCACCCACAAAATTTTTAACTAGAGCAAATCACTTTTAAGTTTAATGTGTGACGTCAATGATCCATTAACAATAAACTCATTAGTGACATATTAAGTTAGCAAATTGTTGGCATCATTTGACATCACATGTTAAATGTGGGGTGATTTGTTCTAAGTTAGAAACTTTCTAAATAGATTTGTCCCCATTTTTTATTCGAACATGAATCCGTCCTTATTGCCTAACTTTGGGGGTGAATTCAAGTATTCTACCTTTTCTCTATATATATTTATACCCTATATTTACCTCTATAAATTAGTATTTTTTTTAATTATTCTTTCTTCCCTTATCATCCTCTCTCTACTGTTCTTCCTTAGTCATTACAAGTATCATTATCTACCATTATTTATCTCTTTGTTCCCATCCCAATTTTCTCTATCTCATTGACTGTAGCAGAAACTTTTAAAATTAAAACATAAAAGAGAAATAATTACTATTCTTCTTTGGTACCTTTTCACTTACATTTACTTTACCTCTCATTAGTTTTTTCTTGTAACTCTATCTGTTAATTCCCTCATCGTAATTTATCTTTATATTTTACGCTTGTCATCTTGTTCCCTCCATATTAGTAATTCCTTCTCTTTACTAGTATTTTTTTTTTCTCCAATTATCATTACATTTTTATTATTATTTCCTAATCATTCCCCTTCCCTTGCATCCCAATGCATCATTATTTATATCTTTTACCTCAATTTTTTTTCTCTCCACTTATATATATTAGAAATGTTTTATATCAAAACATAAAAGACATAGCTTCTTAGCATTATTATCACAATACATTTTCTCCTTATATTTTATAATTATATATATCTTTTTACCTCATACTTGCATTCACTTTCTCTCTCCGTATTAGTAATTTATATATATTATCCTTTTATCTTCTATGTCTTTCATTCTATATATTTTATCAATACAATCTTTCCTTTTACATTATTCATTTTTAGTCACTAATAGTATATCTATTTATTATTATATATTTCTTTTTGCCCTAATTTCCTTTTATCTCCCACTGTATATATTAGAAATATTTTAGGCCAAAATATAAGTGGCTGGACTTTTTAATATTATTTTTTAATTCTTTTTCACTTACTTTTATGCAACAAAGATTGAAGTATTCCTAGTACTCCTTTACTCTTCCATAAGTTGCCTTTAATAAATATTTTTTTAAAAAGACTATTATGTATTTATTAAAAAATTTTACAGAAATTTTTTTTAAAGTCCAATAGATATTTATTTAAGAATTTTATGAAGAATTTTGTTATTCCAACAGTTTATATATGGTCAAGATAAGATATAGCAAATAATGTATACAAAATCTAAATGTTTGAAGCCAGAGAGACAGAATACCTGAACTGGTTGATGATTCAGTGTGGGAATGGGATTGCCGTTGTTGATGCATTTCAGCCAATTTGTTCCTAGTATCTTTGGCAGAACTGATATCCTTTATAAAAGCAAAAACACATGGTGAACATGTAATGTGAATTGCATGTAGAGCTGCAGCATTCTTTTTCGTCTGATCAACCTTGTCTAAAGAGGGAAGAGCATCAGTACCCTTTTCGACCACGTCCCAAAGATCTTGAGTCAACTTTCACAGAAAGTTCTTAAGGAAAAATGTCCAATGTTCATACTTTTAAAGTTCGAGAAGAAATGGAACAATTGCATTAGAAGCACCATATGTTGCCTCTTCAAATCTATATCAAACCATCACC